GTAGATATAACATATATATTTATACATATTTATACACTTACTGACCGAATTCTAATGATTGTTTAGGGTTCAGTTGGCTGAGAACCAGAATAAAAATTATTGTTTAAGTTTGGATTTATTCGTGGTTATCCAAATTATTAAGTAGGTATCGTAACTAAAATTTCTAAATTTCTGGTTGACTTAATATGTATTAAAACCCTAGGAAAAATACACACATTTAACTATACTATATTATCATCATTCGCCGAAGAAAATTTTACAATTTTTCTATTCCGCCAATTCATTACAATATTGTTTTTAAATATAAAACTATACACTGCACACTTGAGTGATAGACGGATGGCCAATCTACTCAATCCTTATTAAGTATTTTTTTTTTCCCACGCACTAAAGCCAAGTTTTTCAAATATCAAGTTGTACATAAATACATTATTTTCGGGAATATTTAATACTTTATAGGTGTTCAACTACCGTATTGTCATCGGAGGAGCTCTTACAGCCTGGAGAATGCGGAGTATCGCCCAGAAAACGTGGCGATTTATTTATTCTATCTCTCGAAAGTAAATAATAAACTGGATTTTGAAATTTTAATAAACCCCCAATGCGGAAAAAAAGTCCATGAATTAAGTGTATACACACAAAAATTAATATATACGAAGCTGATTTACGTAAATTTATTCACAAGGGGTACTTGGCCGATAGAAAAAAAAGAAAAAAACATTTTTCCTTCCATCATAAGGCCACGATTTTTATTCAAATTCCTTTTTCTTTCTAATCAAGAACGCCGCATATTTATTGATCAAAAGTCTCCTCGACTCTTTGTGCCAGTCGCTTTTTTTTCTGTTGATAATTATGATGAGTCCCCGAGGTGATGGCGGCGGTACGCGTATATATATAATGTACAAATATATATATATTTATAAAATAAAACTTGAGGAAGGGGCAAAAAAATCTACGACGTCAAAGGCATAATCCAATATGCAAAGTCGCCATAGTTAAAAAAAAATGAGCGAGAGAAAAAAAACCGACCCGATTCGGAATTTTTCAACTTTGATCTTTACGCGATTTGCATTGTAAAACGTGTTTTATGTTTTTCTTTTCCGGTGTTTTTCTTTTTCCAATTTAAACCGATTTTCTAAGAGCCTGAGAGGAGATCCACATTATTCGTTCGGTTTTAATTAACGTGTATTCATTCAATGCGAATGCATGTTTTTTTTCGAATAAATATTTCAGTAAAGGTAGAAAAAAAACTTTTCACTCAAAAATATGTATTTCAAGCAAATACAAACTCTTCTCGATGTAAAATATTTTTGCTGGTTACTCTGTATATAACGTATTATTTCTATCATTACGTATTATTATTTCCGAACGGACCATATCATGTTGATATTGTATAATAATAGTACAAATATACAATATGATAATTAATCGGGTATTAATACAGTAGATTGAAGTTTACCTACATATATTTCGTATTGGTTTACCGTGTCCATCGAACCGCAAAAAACAAACATCGAGGGTAACGGAGAAAAATATAATAAAAGAAACCATTTCCCATTGGTCGAACGCAACATCCCGAGGGTATAAAAGCTCTGTTGTTCAAATTGTTTCCCATTCGGTAAAGACGGATAAATATATATATATATATATAAAGGAACATTTCCACCGCAGTAGCAGCTATTTCTAGTTCAGCCCTGAAATTATACTTTTAAATAATATAAAAAGGAGAGACAGAATGACTTCTGCAACTGAAATGTACTCCTTTTTTCTTTCTTTTTATTGGTCTTCTTTTAGTAGGGATATAAATTAAACCGAGACTTAGAAGAAAAAGAATAGTTAGTTTAAGGCCGTACAAGCTCTTAAGATTATTGGTTTTTTTTTTTCCATCTTTGCTAGTGCTGTGATATCGTAACAGTTGTTTTATTATTATTTTTCTTTTCTATTGTATAAAACCGCAATATAATATACTGTTACATGGCATGTAATCTAAACATAGATCACTGAGTAAAAAATAAAACCATACTTAACGCAAAACGACAAATTTATATCTACTAAAATGATCGTTTAATTAGTATGTATTGTACAATAGGGTGGTCCATCCTTTTGTAGTTGGTGGGCCAATTACACTTTTATAAAAACACCGAGGGCTGCCAAAAAAATAAATAAATATTATTATTTATATTTTATTTTATTACAAACACATTACCTATATAATATAATGCTCAAATTATTCCATCACATGTTTATATCAACTTATAATTATGATGATTAAGTTATTTATATTTATAGAATTTATAATTTAGATTTAAAAAAAAGTAAATGTGATGATTGGCATTGTATTTCTTAGAAGCTAATTTTCTAATATCAACAACACTCTTTGGTGGTTACTCTGATGCACGATTCTAAACAAAGATTTTCATTATGGTTTCTTGATTTAGATTCTATTAAATTCATCGTAGAAAATTCCGATTCACTTATATACATACTTCCAAATAATAAAAAAATTTCAATAGAAAAATCACTGCTTCACCGTGAATGCTATACAAGTATAGTACCTACATTAATTCTGTACGTAGCGAGTTGAATTTAAGTATGGTTAGATTAGATTAGATTTTGGACGTTACTCATTATACCTATGTTTTATAGTATAATAATATAAAATATAAAAATTTTTACGTTATTATATTACGATTTTATTACTATAATATTGTAGTTTTTTTTTAAACTGGGGAGGGGGCAAATAAAGGCGTTAATGGCTGCAGATTGGACCACTCTGTTGTATAATAGTTATTAAACTGTATGCTGTAGCCTTGGACTTTGAAGTATAATACCTACAATGTTCATGAAATATTGAGAAAGATTTTAAATTTCAAATGTGATTAAATATTGATTTAAAGTAACACAAAATTTATTAGACCTTTTGTTAGTTATTTCATAGTCACAAAATTTTAATACAGAGAAGCGGTTTATAAGTTATAACCATAGTTAAGAAACCAAACATATACTGCAGAAGTAGAGAATACAATACGTTTTGTCAAATTGTTTGTTTTATGATCCTATGAATTTCAAAAAAAAGATAGTTAAGTTTGAAAAATAATAAATAATCTTAAAATAATGAAAACTGGTTTCTATTTATATTATGATATCAAAAAAATAAAAACTTGTTAGCACAGAAAGCATTTTATTTTAAATTGTGTATAAACTTGATTTCTTATATTTACTTGTAAATTAAGAAGTTATTTTAACTAGAAAAGTTTTTTTTTATTAATAAATATTTAAGAGTCTTCTTAATATCACAAATAAATACATAATTAATACTAATAATTAGACTAAAATAATATATAATTTGAATAATATATAACACTGAATGATAAAAAAAAATTCCTTTGAATTATCGGTTACGATTTTGGTTTCATTTTTTTATAAAACGTAAATAAGAATTTGGATAATGTTTCGGTTCTGTGATTTTGACAAGGTTCAAGTTCTAAACTTGTTTTTAAAATTCTCTGTTCAACTCCTTAAAATTACCAAACAAAAGAAAACATTATTAAATATTTAAACATGTTGCAAAAAAAATCATAATTTCATTTTATGTTGACTTCGATAAAAATCGAGTGTAACGCAGCATACTTTAACCGGTGTCGCAGTAAAAATTTCGTGGTAAAAATATCTTAACAAAAACGTCACGATAAAAATGTCGCCAAAACAAAAATGTCGCAGGTAGTAATAATCGCCGTAGTCGCCGATATGGCTCGTAGTTCCGGTTTTCGTTCAATCGTAGGTAAGATTAGATTAGATTAAAGTAGGTACCATAATATAATACCTACGAAAATAAAGTTCAGTATACATATTACATATTAGTGTGTAGTTAGTGTTATTGTGTAATCTAAAACCATAGCAGAAACTCTATAATATAATCTATACATTATGTCATTTGAGTATATAATAAACCAAAAAAATGAAAAACTACTCAAGTTTAATTCTTTTTTATACAAAAAAGAAAGAGAAAACGAAAACAAAATTATTTGGAAGTGCATAGAGTATAATACAAAGAAATGTCGTGGTCAATTACATTCATCTGAACAAAATGTAGTTCATACTACTGAATATAACCATGTTTCCAATATTGCAAAAGTTGAAGCTAAAGAAACAATGGCAAGACTTAAAAATATTGCAAAAACTAACTCAACTTAGTACCCATTCTGTATTAGGAACACTGACATCACAGATATATAGTTATATAGATATATTAATAAATAAATCATACCTATTATTAAAATATATATTTTGAATTTTTACTACATATTTATGTACATATTTTGATTTCATAAATACATATAAATCCAAACCCTAATTATAATATTAATATTATATTTTTCATATTCGATATCGCGATATTTTTTTATTCTTGGCTTTTTGTGTTTACGACATTTTAACCGCGACATTATGGCGTGTATTTACTTTAACCTAACCTTTTTTCAAAATATATATATGTATCTTAAATAATAATATAATGTAACTGAGTATTTGTTATCAGGGTTCCCCCCTCAAAATATCCCTCGTTCAAAATACCCCCCGTTAAAAATATCCCCGTTACAAATATCTCAATTAAAAATATACTATATTCAAAATACTCAAATTTAACGTCATTATTTACAAACGGTCAACATACAATTTAGGTCCGTAGGTATGCTGACCCGACCGTGCGAAGATTCAGATAATAATAATAAAATATATAATAATAAGAAGATAACATTTAATTGCTTTTATATCAGTCCATCGAATATTTGACATTAAACGTTATTTCGGTTTCAACACAGTACACTATTAACATTATTTTTTAAATAAAATACACATATAAAAGATTTTTTAAATGAAAAATTACATGCAATGCCTTTTAAATAATTAAGTACAGTAACATGTTCATAATTATTAAGAACCACTTATTTTAATTGTTTATCCAATTTCTCGTAAATTTTCTTTTTTTAACGTGTAGCTCACCAGACGTGTATTTTTCAATTTTTGCTTCTTGAAGGTCTACATAATAATTGTAATATAATTTTAACATAATTGTAATAATATTACTTAAATAAAACTAAAAAAAAATAATAATTGTATATTTTATTTACCTTGCTCTAATTGGAGACACTTGATACATTTCCATATCGATGCATGATGAGCTCCTAGAGATCCATTAAAGGCATGGTACCACCCTCTCGACGGCATTGTTTGTGTGAGGCTTATTGTCAATAACTGATTGATAAAAATTCCACAAATCAATATTAAAATGTGCTCTTCTTCGTCCTCTTCGCCCAAAACGTTCAATCCACGTGTCTTCAAAATACATTATTATAGATTCTAATAATTCTTCATTTTGTCTGTAGGCCACTATTTTGTATTTTCCTCCAAACACTCTGAGTAAAATAAAAAAAAGCAATTTCTAATAACCGCCGTTGGAAATTCTTCTTTAAAAGTTGATATAAAAGCATTTTCAAAATCAACCATTAACATAGATGGCTTCAGATCTGGTTTCTTAATTTTTAAAAATTTTTAAATTTCTGAATACGTTTCTTTTGTTTAGTCAGTCATTAAAATATAAACTAAAGGATATGTAACATTTTTTTTTACAAGCGTGAATTGTATAAAGTTGAGAAAACAACGATGGAACAGATTTAAGAGTTCTATCAGCCATTCAAACATCTGATTCGCTTAAAAAATCTAAATTATTTTTTGTAGTTAATATTAAACTACGTTTTCCCTCCATGTTAATATCGTATAACAAAAATGGAACCCCCGTTTTGGTTACCTTATATTGGTCTGGTAATATTAAATCAGTTATGTTGATTGTATTCGTAGGGTAATCATTATATTTATATCTTGTTCTACTTACAGTCTGAGATAACATATCAATTGGTAATTTATTTACAGTTATTTTAGATACATCTGAAACTATTTTACTAACTACATTTCTTGTAGGTTCACATGACATTTTAGCTTCATTTTTTAATTTATCAATTGCTTCTTTAATATTAACTTTATCAGGATTTGGAGGATGTCTATGTGTGGGTATTTTTATAATTTCTCCTAAAAAAAAATAAAAAAAAAATGTAATTGGCTGAAAAAAACAAATGCATTTTTGATACCAAAAGTATTAATCTGTTTTGACGTACCTGATTCTTCGTCATTAGTTGTATGACAGCATCCTTTACATTTGTAATTTATAAATTCAATATAGCGCCAAATACATTTATTTTCAGTTGATCGGTGTAAGCTATGCAAATATCCATCGTATGAAAGTAGCTTTTTGCCTTTTTGACTATTTACAAAAATTAAATTCGACATTTTTCGTTTTATAGTTTTCATGGATATGAAATGGTGACCACGCTCACAAGTGTAATGCTGAAACCTTATCGAAAATGTTGATGGTCTGTATTTATCAACTTATTTTATCATTTTTATTACTTCAACAAAATACAGGTATTCCTATTACAAGTTCTAATAATATCTGATTACGCGGCTTAATATAAAGATATCGGAAATGAGATAATCATAAATGACTATTATATTGAATTTTACTGATATTCATTATATACTATGATTTACATATAATATGTATGTTAGTATAACTATAACCTAATTTATGAAAAGTTAAAAAAAGTTTAAAGTTTAAAAATCTTTTTTTTTGTATATTGTTATAAATTAAGGGATAATATTACTGGCGATATTTAGAATATAGGATATTTTGAGGGTGCACCGTTTAAAATCATAGATACTTACATGCATATTATGCATTACGTCATTACGGCTTAGTTAAAAATAAATATTCAAATTTTTAATTATATAGAACAAAATATTATAAGTGTTTATCGACTATTAACATAATATTATTATCAATTGAGATTTAAAGTGTATTATACAGCATTATACCTGGTACCAAAACTATTCTACTTCCAAAATAGTTTACTATGATGTAGACGACGATGTTTTGATTAGTTTTATAGTAAATAATATATATTATAAAATCATAAGTCATAATAATTATATTTTACGAAAAAATTGTTTAAACAAAGACGTATAAAAAAAGTTTTTTTACTTCTCAAATACTACCCAAAAGTACAAAAGTACTTTTTATTACTTTGATTTATTTTTAACGTATTTTATATTATAAGCAAATTACGTATAAGTTCAACACGTGTCTGAAATTATAATAATACAACCGTCATTAATTTTTATAAAATTCATACTTGACTCGATTCAAAATACTTATTGTTCAAAAAATAATATGATACATTATATTTACTACCTAATAAGGAAATTAGTTAAATAATTAAGACAGCCTAACCTGACGAAAACATATCCACTTTTTGATGTCAAATAATTATTCTTACAAGATGTTTATCTTCTAATGAAATCGCATTTCTTTGTATTATTTTTGTAATATTACTATATGTTCAAGGGTTTTTCTATTTTTTAAATGAAAACATATTTGGCAATAAGCATATAAAACGTATAATAATTTAACTCTTAAACAGTGACGTAACCAGGGTGAAGAACTGAAGGGTCTGTTCTGCAGCTATCTTACAGTTTAAGTAATAATTTAACTTTTAACACCTTTAACGTCGGTAACTTTGATAAATTAATTTGTTATGACACGTTTTTTATTTTTTTCGTTAGGATACATTTTATTTTCCATTTTTTTCTTCACACTTCAACCGAGTTAAAAGAATTAATATGAGTTTTCGTAGAAGTCTTCACGAGGTTAAATTATATTTTGTTAATATTTTTAAAGGTTAGGCTGGTTTAGTTAAGTGATTATACGTTATCTTATTTAATAAATTATAATCATGAACCGTAGTTGATGTAACGGCTTAAGATATAATATAAAAAATATAATATCTTAAATCACAATCTATCACAATACACAGCAGTTGTGATGATAATTTGTCTTTGCGACCTTTAGAGTTTAGACGATACACGAAATATCTTAGTTATAACTTATAACCGATAATATCACAAATATCTATTACTGTTATTGATAAAAATTAAAAATATAAATACCTATAAAATATATTAGTAGTTTTAAATGTTTAAAATAAATTTATATACTTTCATGTTATAAGCGAAGGGGATTGAATCCTTCCCATGTCTACGGCCCTGCTATGTCCTATATTTTTATGAGTGATAATATAAAAATGTGTTTAAGAAATGAAGATGTATAGAACATTAATTTTTTATATTTTATTGTCATTTGTATATTTTTGGAATACAGGTAGGTACCTGTTCTCTTAAGATCGATTTAATTTGTGTTTTAGTGCTATTTAATAAAAAAAAAAATTAATAGATATAGAATACTGAATAAGTTGTATAACCTAGGATTCTACTTAGTATTTTGCAATAAAAAAATCCATGAAAAAATAGGTGTTGAGTGAGATGTATGCTTAAAAAAAAAAAAAATATATACTAAAAAATAATTCCTATTTTTGTAACATTGTTAGTCAAAATAGTAAAAAATTACAAAAAATAAATAATTTTCAACGCTATTATGTATTTATATGTTCTTAAAATGTCAGTCACCAAAAATATTAAATACTATGTTGGCTTTCTACTATCTTACTGATCCTACAACCTGATACTATACATATAATGGTTATTATGCTAAAATCGATCGAAAATATAGTCTAAAGTTTTTTGTTCCCTTTTCTTCTGTGCTTGTGTATGGAGAGGGAGAGGGTAGTCTGATATGGAGGACTTATTATAACCCATCAATTTATTTAGGTTGTTTATCGAATTCGTTACGGCGATGTCGGTGGCGGACGTCACATTATATATACAATATAATAAATACGCGTAACAGCAGTAGCATTGCAGGATGATTCACACGGTGATGGGCAAACCGATTCGGTAAGGCGGTCGCTGCCGTATTATACTTAAATGTATGTACGTGTGCAGTATACGTTATAATCCGGCGGGTGCTCTGATGGTATAAAATAATAATAATAAGTGGGTTGCAGAAATATATCTATACACAGATGAACGGACCTTGATAAAACCAGGGCGGGGTACAAACAGAAGTGATAAGCCTCCTGTGCGAGTTGGCACACGCTCCACGCGGGAAATAATAATTATATAATATAATACATACGTACGCCCGTCTCGTCCCCTGACGTTCGTGCGAGTGTGTATACTACCTATATGTATATGTATATATATATGTTTTCACTGCTGCTGCCACTGATGTGCGTCTGTGTGCAGTGTACACCCGCCCGAGATCACCAGGGTGTGTACACGAACGCACGCGCGCAGGAGTGATTAATAACGTTCGGACACAATAGCTGCGGGCAGAGATTTCTGGCCCGTAAAATTGATGCCGACGCCATAATAATAAACAATATTTTTTTTTTATGTCATTTTTTCCTTGTCGCGTGCGTGCGAGGGAGGATGTACCCGCCACCGTTTGGGTTTATTAGCGTGCTAAAAAGACAGGAAGGCCGAAATATCGTATTCACATATTCATATATATATATCATATCGTTTTGGTCGACGACCGCCCAGGGATTAATGTCACCCGCAGCAGAAGACTTGTTGTCACCACTGGTGCTGGAGCCGTCGCCGTCATCGCGGCCTCTCGTGATAACCAGTAATTTATGGTATTTATTTTATTAAACGTACGACGCGTTAAAATAATATTATCTAGAAAGCAAAGATTCTCAACACTTTATAAACTTAGGTCCTAAATCACGATTGAAAGGTTTTACATATTGATATATACTATACACAAAATAAAATACTAATGCATGTGTCATTCATCTATACTAAATTCTAATGCTATAAAACGGTATTCTGCTTTACTATACAGTAAATGGTAAGTTTCAAGTGTACCTTGTTATTGAATAAGTTACTGTTAAGTATTTTTGTGTTAAATTTAAATTCAATGATAAAACAATTCATTAAATGATTCTAAATTTCCAAGCGAATACGGTCATCAGCCTTTATTACTAATATACTATATATGTAGTATATTTTGTTTTATATTATATGTTATAATAATATATTCATTTATTTTATTTTCCAACCAAATATAACATAAACATAAAATATAAAACGTATCGTGGTTACACATCAGTTAAAAGCATTAACTTGTAAAAGCTATGTTGAGTTCACAAAAATTAAAATTAAAAAATTATCAAAGGATTTAAAGTAATCAATATATATATAGTAATTTTATAGTATTATATTATACAAAAAAAAGTAATTATAGTTAATTATTTACAGATATATAATATAAACGCAAACGTACATTAATAAAACTAGTTACAAAATAGCTCATAATTTATGCATATATTTTATTATAATGGTAAATTATTTTTATATGTTCTAAAAACATTTGTATTTTTAAAACTTAGGATACCTATTAATATTCAGTTGAATACAAATATCAATTCTTATAATTAAAGGATTTAATTTTCCAAAGGTGGTATTACATTTATAATTTATTACATAAATATTGTTATTATATTTTGTAGTATAGCCATGAAGATATTATAAAATAAGCATATGTTTAAATTGATAGAGTCATAGAGAAGAAGTAGTCAATTTTTTTTTTTTTTTAATTTAATTTAGTTTTTGAACATTAAGAGTGCTATAAATAATATAATATTTAGTTACAGACTTGTATAGAATAGATTATTTTATTAATATTTGTAATAGGTTTTTTACAATATGAATGTGACTGTAGTACTATATCTAAGTACTTTTTAACTTTTTAATCTAACCTAGAACGGACACATGAATATCGATATGACATCCGTTAAAAATTTGTTATCATTGATTTTGTATCTTACTAGTATCTACTTGGTTGTTAAGTTGTAAAAATGTATTACGCACAATTTCTACAAAAATTTTTTTGAAATATAGGCCCAGATGAAGTTTTTTTCCTTTATCTTTTCAAAATATTTATATCTGAAACAAAAGCGGATTAAAATAAAATATTGAATTTATCCAATGTATTGTGAACGAATTTACAAATGGTCATTACGCAAAGTTGTTCTATGATCTAGTAAAATTTTTTAACTACTTCCGCATTTCAGAAAGATCATTCAATGAACTTTTACTATGCATCAAAATATATATTCAGCTAAAAAAATACCAATTTGTGATTAGCCATACAGTTGAAGAAATATTGTCATCCGGATAAGATATAACGTGCGCACTGCGTATTCGAAAGTGTACCCATGTAACTACGCAGTTAACGTTTAAATTTAAAAACAATTCAAATTTAATTTGGACGTTGATGTGTTCGATGACCGATATATATGCGTTGAAAAGATAATAAATCGATAAAAACATGACGTCAGTATAA